TGTGGTGCTGGGGGATTGAACCGCGGTCCCTGTGCTTTGCTAAGCTTGTTCTAAGTAGGTGCTTTAGACCACTGAGCCATCTCACCAACCCCAATGCTACTATTTTAGCACACAATTCAGCTGAATTAAGAACACTCGCAGGAAAATAAATAAATAAATAAATAAGAACACTCACATGGTTATGCAACCCAATCTCCAGAAGCCTTTTCATTTTGTAAAACCTGAAACTCTGAACCCATAAAACAACTCTTCATTTCCCCTTTTCCTTAGCCAAGTGATAGTGAGCCTTTTAGAGCCAGAGTGCCTGAGCTTAACCCAAAATCCACTTATTGATAGCAAAGCCCCAACTCAGCAATCAACCCTGAATACTAAAGTTTTAGTTTAGAAAAAAAACAACTCCGCTTTAATATCTTTATCTTGAAAAACCCAGTAACAAGCAGGCCAAAGCACTCTCCCGTGGAAACTCATATTCTCCATTTGGTCTCTATGAATTTGAGTGCCCCAGGCACCTCCTGTAAGTGTCCCTCACATATCCTCTGCTTATGACTGGCTTGTTTCACTTAGCTTCATGCAGTCCAATTCATCCATATTGTAAAATATTTTAGAACTTATTTTCCTCAGGTCAAATAAAAATGGGCATGTAGGTTCCAACCCCAGTGCAGCAAAAAGAAAAAAAAAATAATAATTGCAAGCCCCAAATGGACATTTGGCACACTCCTGTAATCCTAACACTCTGCTCTGGGAAACTGAAGCAGGAAGATTGCAAGTTCAAGCCCAGCTTGGGCAACGTGGGGACTTGGTGAGACCCTGTTTCATTGAATATAGGGGTGCAATAACACCAGGAAGAAACCCTGTTTCAAAATAAAAGACTGGGGATGTAGCTCAGTGAAAGCCACCTGGTCCAATCCCCAGTATTATCAAACAAACAAACAGACAGACAGACAGACAGACAGACAGACAGACAGACAAAAACTGAAGCCTGTATCCTTACCAAGAAAGCAATACAGCTCTTTGTCTCTGACCATGGAACCGAATGGCATCTGCCAGCATTCCGGTTGCAAACCTGCTAGTGAAAATCTCAGCCCCCTTCTTGATTCTTGACAGTGGTTGGGGCCAGGTGTCTGTTTTCTCAAAGGTGGGGGGGAGCAAAGACAAAGGGAGGCCCGAGAAAAGAATGATTGGGAGGCGCATAGCAGCGGGAATGAGGGAGAGGACACCAAGGGCAGATCTGAGGATAAACCCCTGATCCTGGGCAGAAAGCCAGGAATAGCAGGGAATCTGGGTTAGTGATGAAACAGTAGCTCAGATTATGACCTGGGGCCCTTCCTAGGGAAGAAGAACACAGTGAAGAAAGGGCTGATAAAGTGAGAGGGACTGGAGGTCCCCCCCCAGCTCCACCCAGGCCTTGGGTCTGATGGGCGTTGCCTTGGGGCACTGAAGATGGACCCAACCATTAACAAATATGGGGGCCAACTCCACAAGGTTGGAGAGCACTCCCGTGGCAGGGAGAGGCTGGACTATGGTGGGTCTAAATCTGTAGGTCTAAAGATGAAAAGTTGAAGAACTGGTTAGTGATTCCCTTTCTCTGCATGAAGTAGGAGGGAAGGGACTTAGTGAAACCAAGCAGACAGGGAATTTTGGACTCAGAGAGAAGGTCTGAGGTCTTATAAACCACATAGAATACACGACACTGTTATGATTGGGGTAAGTGATATCTACAGGAATTTTGACAAATCCACAAAGATTGAAATGAAAAACAAAAACCCATAGATGAGACAAGGAGTAGGGAAATATGGGTCATGCCCATCAGAGGGTAGCAAGGTGAGGGATCTCTATCCAGCAGTGTTAAAGGGCTGCCTAGCAGGACTGTCGTCCAGGGATCCTGACCCAGCCCACACAGGACAAGGCAGAACTGACTGAAAGATTCACTCTTGACCGTGGGCGCAGGCCCCTGGGAGCGTCTTGGGAAGCCCCGCCATCAGGCACATATCCTAGCTATGCCTGAATTGTCTCTCAGTCTCGTACACTTCTGAGGCAGGGAGACCTGGGGTAGTTTGCGGGATTCTGGACTGGCTACTACAGTATCTGCCCACTACTCCCCTCCAGGGAGGGCTCTGCCTCTCTGGCCAGGTGTTGAGGTCCCCAACACTTCCGGTTGGTGCTGGGTCCCTGCTGGATCTCTCTAGGGCCACCCTGCTGCTCAGCTCTCCAGCTGGCCTCCTTTTGTAAAAGAAGCGCGATTCGATGAGGGCCCTGACTTCTCCAGTAGTCACCTAATAGAGGGTGCAGGTCTTGTCCCACCCTCTGGGCACAGGCTCCCTACTTTACGCTGAGTCTGAGCTGGGGTGGGGGTTCTCCATCCTCCTCCTCTCCTTCAGCTGCTTTACTGAACGGGTCCCTCACCTGAGGTTTTGCACCACACCGCCACAGCCCGAACCCACAGGTTTGACGACCTTCCGAGGGAAGTCCTGCGGGCTGCCCGCTTGCCTATGGCGTCAAAAAGCCGGCAGCCCCGGCCGGTGCGCGTAGTGCGCAGTCGGCGCGGCAGGTGGCGGCGTCTCCCCGCGCCCAGAGCGTTCCTGGAGAGGCAGCGCTGGCCCTGGCCCCCACGGGGACAGCGTCCTGCCCAGCCCCGGGTGGGCCTCCGGGGAGCGTGTTCTGGACGGCGCGCAGGGGCGGGGCGCCAGCTGTCGAAGTCCCCCAGCAGGGTGCAGCCCCTGGGGGGCGCACTTGGCTTTCCACCCTGGGGTGACGCTCCAGCAGCTCGGGATTGCCCGCGCTGCGCTGTTCCCAAGGTGCGGCGACCTCTGGCGCCCTGGTCCGGGCAGAGGGGGAGCTGTAGGGCGGGGAGGCGCAGCGGCAGCGCGGGATGGGCAGGGCCGG